GTTTTCATTTCCGTTCGCCAAATATTATTGAAAACTGTGGAAATGCAAAAATTAGGACTGTCAGAGCAATGGAAGCCCCAGAGCGATATGGGCTCTCGGTGGCGTTTCAGTAAACGTATCGACGATAGATTTTCCGTCGCATTTTACGAGCTGAAATCTTAATTGGAGAAAAGGCGGGATAAAAGAATTAAATTACAATTGAATACGGAAACAGAAGCTTCTTTTCTGTTTATCGGAAATCGAACTGGCGTATTTTTTTTTTTCCAAAAGAACGTCGCGACGAAATATTTAACGCAATTAATTGCGAGGAGTTTGTTACAATGGTCTGAAAAATTTATCGAATATAGGTCATTTCTTGGAACACTTTTACGCGTTTCTTGGAGATGTTATATCACGCTACGATAACAACTAGACTAATAGTACGATAACTTGGCGCTTGCATATCGCAATACAAACAAGTCAGAGCTTAGTGATCCATATTCAATTTCGGTCTAGTTGTAGGTGAGATACGCGAATGCCATTATTTTAGAATTAAATAAACCAATTGAATAAACAAACAACAGTAATCGCTCGGGCTAACAAGGGGAAGCTAACGAGTGAAGGAACAAAGTGGCAAGAGCCAACGCAGACATTTTGACAAACGCGCCAAGACCAGAAGATATCCCAGATGAATATTAAATTAGACAGAGAGAGAGAGAGAGAGATACAGAGAGAGAGTTTGTTTAACCATTCGGTGGATATCGAGTCCATTCGGACCCAGTCTCCGCCGAATGTCAACCGTCAAAGCGTGGATCTGGCCGTTTGTCCTGTCCACCCCCGTTCCTCCCCCAACCGGCATTTCAGGCGGTTAAGGTGGGGAGAAAGGGACGAAACAAAGGACGATTGACGCTTTGACGGTTGACACTCAACAGGGATGGGTCCCAATGGACCCGATATCCGCCGCCGGCCGAGGATCAATTTAGTCCGGCATACATTTTGTGCATCGGGGTAACGGCCTTGTACTTGACGCGTAAAATATTACGAGCGACCGCGAGGGAGGAGGGCTCGCCCCCTCCCGCTCTTTCGCCCTTTCGAACCACTCCGCTCCCGTTCCACCGTGCTACTTCGCCTCCGGCTCGCTTTTCTCGATTACCCGCGTCCGGGCTCCGCAATCGGAAACTTGGACACCACTGACCCATCTAAGCGAGTGTCACGCGAAGGGATCGCGCGTGTGTTACGGCAATACGTAACCGTATATGGGTCTAGATTGGAAAAAAAAAAGTTTAACGGCAAGAATGTTCGCAGCGGAGGATTTGCGCGAGCATTATCTGTATCACGACGCGTCACTCGACAAGAATGAGTGCGTAGTGATATATACGCGATGTTACAGGATGTGCGATACGCGGTACGTGTGTGTGTGTGTTAGACCGTGCGTAGGAAACTCGCGCGAAGATAACTCGGCTCGCGTCGAATCACCGTATCTACGAATTTCGCATTTCCACAAGCAGGTTATCTCGTACAATTATTTAGCGCTACAACATTATCAGTCTGTTGAAATTTATGAAACTTCGGCCTGACGGCTGCTAATTAGGCTGCACTTGCACTTTGTGTTCGGGCGACAAACATCCTGCATATTCAAGGGATAACGCGGGGAATAAATTCACCGCGATAAATCCGCGCGACTAATAATGAGAAGCACCGTCCATTTTTCATCGTACGATAAAAACGGGGAAAGGGGGTGGGAGGAAAGCGCGAAGCAATCGAGCCCGCAATCTCCCTTTTCGTTGTATTTCGATAATATATATATTTCATGTATCCTACATTGGAATCTCTTTCCGATTAAAGATTCTCGTCAAATCTGAAACATTCAGTGCCCTTCAATTTACAAAGACATATATATCTTTAAATATACAACACCAATGATTTTTATTGACCGTATCTGGGAATAAAAAATTCTTATTGCGAAAAATATTACCCCAACCAGGATTCGAACCTGGGACCTCCCTCAATCCGTGACGGGCGTCGAGATGGTAAGACGCCCGTCACGGATTGAGGGAGGTCCCAGGTTCGAATCCTGGTTGGGGTAATATTTTTCGCAATAAGAATTTTAATTGCCAGATACGGTCAATAAAAATCATTGATGTTGTTAATTACTGCTGGCGACTTTTAAGAGTATTCTTAATAGTTTAAATATATATAACTGTTTTTCTAACAACTTTTCGCAAGCCTGGGAAGACATCCGAGGGAATTTGAGTATATAAAATTCGCCCTATAAATAAAGAAATATTTCAAAGGGCCTATCCGCGTGAACGAAACCCGCCGACGCGATCGTTGAATCGTAAAAATTTACGAGAAGAAACCGCACTTGCGAACGTCACATCTCGCCGAAACTTTCAACGTTCGTCCATGGATAAACGATAAAAGGACCCCTGGAATATCGAGAGCGCGACAGTATAACGCGACGCGGGGGCGGAAGGAAGCTGCAAAAACTTTCGACTATTTAATTAACTTTGTTGTACAAGCGAGTGTGCACCGTGGACTGTCCTCGGTAGCAAGAACAGTTAATGCGCAAGTTTTGGTGTTGGTGAAAAAAAGTTGGACGAATAAGTATACGGCTGTGTAAAAACCCCGTACTTCATTACAAAGTTGCCGACGGGCGCGCGATTGCGATGTTGCGGATTATTATGTTGCATCGCGTCCCGTATTTTTTTTAATCCGCGTTACTATATACAGAAATTAACTTTTTTATTTATCCGCTCTCCATCCTCTCGAGCCCGTCGATCTTCCCGATATATGACGTATCCCCAAGAGCACAGGCGGTTGTATCGAGCGCGTCTCCCCTCTCGTTATATTTCAATAATATATATATATATATATATATATATATATATATATATATTTCGTGTATCCTACATTGGAATCTCTTTCGAATTAAAGACCCTCGTCAAATCTGAAACATTGAGTGCCTTCATTTTATAAAGATAAGCATATCTTTAAATATATAACTGTCTTTCTGACCAATGTATGATAAAAGATTGCAGGTGACATAATGGCCCAGTTGTGCTGCACGTACTCTGGGGAATAAAAACGACAGTTAGCAACCCAGTTTGCGGCCCACAATTAGTAATCGAATTATTTGGATTATTAATAACACTCTAATCTTTTACGAATCCTACCCCGCGTAATTAAAAATCGCAATTAGCTATTCTATCTATTATATGTCCAAGATTTTGAAGTAATACTAATCAATTCTCTCAATTAGTTCTGTCGATATTCAGTAACGCAAAGACAATTTTCACTTAAGAGGCACTAACCGAAATGTTAAGTTGATTAACTACAAAAAAACGCTCAAAATTCTTCCCAGAGTAGAGTTACGAACAATCCAAATAATAATTGTGGGCCCCAAAATGAGTTGCCAACTGTCTTTCTTTTCCCAGAGAATTGCTGCACAGGTAAATATAATAATTATGTACAAATGAAGTCACTAGATGTACAAATAGGATCTTTTAATTAAAAACGAGATCATATTTTATTGTTAAATATTAATTAATATTAATTACTATTAATATTAATTACTATATATTAATTATATACTATATATACTATATATACTATATATTAATAAATAAATATATAATAATATTAATTACTAAAAATGATAGATAGTCCTGGTTTCTTTAAATGGGTTTAGCCACCAATTATATTGATTATATACTTATTCGTTCGCTGTATTTCAGAATTAATTACAAGCTAAGATTTATAATTGCTTAAAGATACCCAAGACGCAGTTATCGATCATATATTTATAGAAGAAACTCTGTATAATTAATTTAATTTACGTAAAGTGGTAATACAAATTTTAAATATAAATCAGCATCGAGATATTGAATACATATTGCAATAATATCGTACAGCTATTAGAGTGGAGATTATCTTTATAATCATTTTTATCATTGGACAAGATAAGGATAGATAGCGAGCAATTTTTATCATAAAACATTTTATTTAATTAAGTTGCTCCTAATAATGTCTTTCGAAAACTCCAAGCGTCCTGGTTTTCTCCAGAACATGTTCGTTCTGAAACTTAAAGGAATAGACTTATGTCACGAGCTTTTCTTAGAAGCGAAATAGAGGCACGATTATAGTCCGACGCCGTACAAGTTCAAAATCATTAAGGATAAGCGTATACAATGGTGTAAAAATTACAATGTTATCACTTAGATAACAAATATTGCAACACTTATTACTCTTGTTCTTAGAATTTTTTCATTTAGTACAAAACACTTATGTTTATCGATAATTATATTTTACAAACTTACTTAAAAATTGTCCTTGAGATATAAGCGAAACATTTTAGCGCTCTTAGGCTAGACGCTTCTAACCATTTCTCTTAGAAAGAGACAAAAAGTGATTTAAAGTCAACGGCACACGATACTAGTTTTCCTATATTGGATTGCTTACGAGGGCCAATCAAGATTCAGTCTTAAGTCATCTGATCTAAAATTCTGCATCCTTATTGGCTCTCGTAAGCAACGCAGTAGGAAAAAACAGTACCGTGTGCCGTTGGCTTAAGCTAAAGTTAAGCGACGTTGGTGCGACCAGGCCTCATTATTCCAGTTTTACGCGAAAATAGGTATTTTCACGACCAAGGTGCCCGTCGAAAAAGAGATAAATCCATCGGGAGGAACGCGTATCAGAGAAGATGACACTTGGGGTATCACTCGCGTACTCCTAAACGATCTATGATGTTATCTTAACGGCGATCGCGCCGCTTTCTTTCCTTGAACCATATTACTTCCCGCTATCGGCCTCGTTTCGGCCGCTTATCTTCCGCGCCGGATAAACGGCCGCGGGGCGGCACGGTGGCGCGTGCTTTTCTTCCCGAAATTTGCATAGTGCGCGCGGTGGGCGCAATCAACGGCCGAGCCGGGGGGAAGTCGCCCACTCGCCTTCGTCGAACGGCGCGTTATCGGCGAACACGCGCACACGCGCGACGTAGATATATACCGATCGGCGAGTACGCGGCTTGGTTACTGCGCCCGCGATACGTCTCGGGGGCAGGAACTTGGCCGATTTTTCACCGACGTCGATCACGCGCGCGTCCGATCGACGCTCCCGCCCGATCGATGGATCATCTCGCCGCGCGCGCACGCGATCGACGAGTGTTACCCGCGCCGGGCCGACGCAGCATGACCGCCGCGGCTTTGATCGTCTCCTTGGCGATCGCCCTGAGCGACGCGGCCTCGATCGCGCGTGTCACCTCCTCCGGGCCGGTGGACCTCTGCGACAGGTGAGTGAAAGTTGACGTCGGCGTTGCGTTTCGCGCGCGAAGCGAAAGAGGTATCGGCGCGAGCTTAACCGAGGCCCCGTTATTTGTTCTATCGACCGTTTGTTCAATCGACCGCTTCCGCGGAGCATGTTGATTCTTCGAAAGTAGAACATATTACACTTTTGGCACTCTTTCCCCCTGCCCCTTTCCATCCCGGGGAGGCTCTCCCCATCCGCGGTAGGTTCTTATCACTTTCGGTCTCATAAGCACGTTTACGTTTATCTTTTATATATATTATTTTTTATCTCTCTTTCACCGGGAGGCTTTTGAAAATATTTGGATAGAAAATAGACGCGCGAATTCGATAAACGCTTACAGGAAGCGATGTTGACGTTACTCGGGAGCGTATAATTTTGTCTGAATAATCCAACAGCTTTCTCTTCCTCGCGGCTACCCTTCGTAATCGCATAAAGGATTATGTTTGCATCGTCGAAATTATTCCGAATAATTGTTTATTCGCAAACGCACTCGCGAGATGTACTTTCGGACGACAATGCGAATTTCGCGCGGGCCCACGCAAAGCGGTCCCGGCGCACCGTTGAGACGCGAGTCACTTGGGCTGTTTTAGCAATCCTTGGTCGTGTTCGTCGGGTTATTCACGGTAGGCGAAACTTTCGCCATTGTCTCGGGAAGGCACAACTCCCCGTTCGGAATACTTATCGCACACTGCGAGAGATAACTTCTTGATGAATGTTTGTATACAATTCACGGATACGTGCTCTACGTACATCTTCTGCGGCTCTCGGCGCTCTATATAAAACTACTTCCGTTACTTTTCCATAATTATTCACGATCAAGCGGATAGGAGAATATTCAAACGCGTTGCGTGTCTCGTTAACGATTGTCGCTTATTTAGTTATGGAATTAAGCTAGTTATTTTAAGTTTCCCGGGGAACAGTATAAGCCGTGGAAGGCTAATCGAGAAGTTACAAGCCCCGTTAATTGATCAGTCTCTTCCTCGATTGTACGATATTGTAAAATTAATTTTGACGCGATAGCACAAGGTACATTATCGTGCAATAGTGCAAAATTAATTGACTAAATTTTAATTAAAAAAAGTCGAATAAAAAATTAATTGTGCACGTATTAAAATAATTACTATATCTATAAATAAATGAGGGAAGGAATCTCCGTATGTGATTCCTTATATTAAAAAACATTGTAATAGCAGCACTTTCAGTTGTGATAAACACGGAAGATGATTTTACATCGCGCTCAAACTTAATCCTATAATATTCTCTGTATTTTTCCCCCTCTGTACCATCGCTCGGTTCTTTAAACTGCAGGCGATGAAAAGCACTTTATCGTTTTAATGTAATCACTTAAATATTCCCGGGTAGAAGTGCTAATAAATAAACGAGTACAATGAAATCGTAAGTGATTAAGAACCCAAAAGGAAATAGAAATAGAATTAACTTGTTACTTTGAAAATTAAAGAGTTTTATCGCAACGTTCAACTACTTCAGAGGCAACGGAAGACATAAATGTTTACTTTATCTTAAGAAACGTATTCTTTGTATTTTCTTCATATATGCACTTTAACCTAGCCTTGCCTTACGACTTCTGGCAATCATG